TTACCAAGTTAAAATTTATTATTAGGTTGGTGCAAAAGTAATAGCGGTTTCTGCCAATACGAGTAACAGCAGAAACCGCTATTACTTTTGCGCCAACCTAATAGAAATGTTTGCTCCTCTTGTGGAACACTCACAAACTAAGTTACTCGCAATCCAAGGTTTTCCTGTGTATTGGAGCATTATCCCAATTTTACTCTCCCAATTTTAAGGATTTCCACATGCCATACTGTGGATAGTGCACAATCTAGTAAGACAGATAAAAAATGGGCCCAGAAACGAAAACAAATGTGAGTTGGAATTAAGAAATTATTCCCTTGTAAAATTATTCATTTAGGAGTAAAATTTCAAACTTCTGGTCAAGATGGCAGAGTAGGTAAATGCTGTGGCTCACCTCTTCTCATGACCACATCAAAATTACAACTAAGCTACAGAACAACCATCATTGAAAACTACCCAATGTCTAGCTGAACAGAAGTTCTATAACTAAGGATATACAGAATAAGCCACAAGGAGAAGCCCCTACCTCCAGGGGTGGGGACAGACACGGAATGGTCTGGCCCCACAAAACTGGGCTGCAGAGGCCCCCCTGAGGAGGGGTCCCAGCTCCACACCAAGCTCCCCATCCCAGGGTTCTAGTGCCGGAAAGAGAAGTCCCCATAAGTTCTGGCTATGAAACTCAGCAGAGATGGTGGCTGAGACAAAGGGTGCTGGGGTGCCAGGTGCTCCTTTTAAAGGGCTCATATATGAACTTACTGATGGATTCACTTGTTCTGAGCTCCAGTGCTGGGACAGCAGCTCAAAAGATGCCAGAAACATAGGGGAGGAACTGTCTGGCTTCAAGGCAAGGGTTGAAGTGTCAGCTTTCTCCCAGACAGAACATGCTGGCAGAAGCCACTATTCCTTTGTTGAGCCCTCCCCTCACCCAGCATGAAGACACAGGTTACGGCCATATAAGTCTCCATCAACCTAGCTAACACAACATTCGCACCACCCTGGTGATCCCCTAAGACCCCACCTCACCCTACTTGTGGGCTCACCTGAGCTGCTTCTGGTGGCTTTTCCATACAAATGACCTGTCTTGGTTCATGCTGTGAACTTTCCAAATATCTCTCAAAGGTTCACAAACCCCAAACAAACAGCATCTCACCTCTGTGCCCTGCACTTTTTGTTGAGCAGCTCAAACTCAGCACTAGTGGCAGCTGGCCCTGGTTCGCAACTTAGGCACCTTCAAGTCCAGCACAAGTGGCAAACATCTACAAATCACTTTGTAGTTCATACCAAGTGGCTCAGGGCAGGGCACAAGCAGTGGCTGACCTTAGCATTCAACAGAGCTCCTCCCAAGAGACTCCCAAAGCAACACACATGGTGGCTAGCTTCAGACCACACCACACCACCACCCAATCACCTCCACAAAAGAAACACCCAAAGGACAGACTGGGCAGGCACCAGAGTTCCACTGAAGTGAATCCTGCTCTGTAGGCTCAGCCCCTGCATAACAGCTCCTCCATTGTAGTCACAAACAGTCCTCACAACCAACCAACCTGAGGGTCAATCCCTCCCATTGACATAAAAACAGAAACCAAAGCTCAACTACAACAGGAGGGCACACACAGCCCACACAAAAAACACACCTGGGGCACCCGGCAGGTGACCAGAGACTGTGACACTGGGCCCCACAGGACACCTACTACATAAGGCCACTCTACTAAGACAGGGAGATATAGCAGCTCTACCTAATACATAGAAACAAACACAGGAAGGCAGCCAAAATGGGGAGACAAAGAAACATGTCCCACATGAAAGAACAGATATCCAGAGAAAAAACAAAATGGAGACAAGCTACCAGATGCAGAGTTTAAAACACTGGTTAAAAGGATGCTCAATGATCTCAGTAAGTATTTCAACAAAGAGATAGGAAACATAAAAATGGTGATAGAAAACATAAAAAAGAACCAAGCAGAAATGAAAAATGCAATAACTAAAATGAAGAATACATTAAAGGGACTCAACAGATTAGGTGAAGCAGAGGATTGAATCAGCGATTTGGAAGGTAAGGTAGCAGAAAACACCCAATCAGAGCAGCAAAAAACAACAAAACAAAACAAAAAACAAATGAGATAGTTTAAGGGGCCTCTGGAACAATATAAAGCACACCAATATTCATATCATAGGGGTACCAGAAAAAGAAGAGAGAAAGGAATTGAAAACCTATTTGAAGAATTGATGAAAAACTTCCAAAACCTGGTCAAAGAAAGATATATACAAGCCCAGGAAGCACAGAGAGTCCCAAACAAGATGAACCCAAACAGACCCATAGCAAGACACATAATTAAAATGCCAAAGGTTAAAAACAAATTATCTTAAAGACAGCAAGAGAAAAACCATTAGTTACCTACAAGGGAGTTCCCATAAAGACTATCAGCTGATTTCTCAACAGAAACTTTGCTGGCCAGAAGTGATTGTCAGGAAATATTCAAAGTGATGAAATGCAAGGACCTACAACTAAGATTAATCTATCCAGCAAAGCTATCTTTTAGAATCAAAGGACAGGTTAAAAGCTTCTCAGAGAAGAAAAAGCTAATGGAGTTCATCATTACCAAACCAGTATTATAAGAAATGTTAAAGGGACTTAAGAAAAAATAAAAAATATGAATAATAAAATGGCAATAACTACATATCTATCAACAATTACTATAAATGTAAATGGATTAAATACTCCAGTCAAAAGACATAGGGTGGCTGAATGGATAAGAAAACAAAATCCAGACATATGCTGCCTAGAAGAGATTCAATTCAGATTGAAAGACACACACAGACTGAAAATAAAGGGTCAGAAAAAGATATTTCATGAACATGGAAAAAAAAAAAGCTGGGGTAGCAATACTTACAACCAGACAAAACAGACTTTAAAACAAAGGCTATAACAAGAGACAAAGGACACAAAATCCCACTTCTGGGTATTTACCCGAAGAAACCCAAACACCACTTCAAAGGGACATGTGCATCCATGCTCCTTGCAGCATTGTTTACATGAAGATATGGAGGGAGCCTGGGTGTCCATCAATGGATGGATAAAGAAGAGGTGGTATACACTCCATATGTACAATGGAATATTAATGAGCCATAAAAAGAACAAAATCTTTCAATCTGCAATAATATGGATGGCCCTAGAGGGTATTGTGCTGAGTCAGACAGAGAAAGACAAATGTCATTTGATTTCACTTATATGTAGGTTCTAGAGAACAGGATAAACGAACAAACAAAACAGAAACAAGCTCATTGATAAGAGAACATTTTGATTGTTGCAGGACTGGGGTGTTGGTTAAAGGGATGGGTGAAGGGAAGAGATTAAGTGGTACAAATTGGTCGTTGCAAAATAGTCATGGAGATGTAGAGTATTAACAGGGAATATAGTCACAGTATTGTAATAACTACATATGGTGTCAGATGAGTACTGGATTTATTGGGATAATCACTTCATAAGTTACATAAATGTCTAACCACTGTGTTACACACCTGAAACTAATATATTGTATATCACCTGTAATTAAAAAAATCCTTGAAAATAATAAAATTTCATTTTAACAACATGTTTATTCTATGAAGTATATCTGAAACTCATAACAAAAGGCAAAACTGCAGTGTGACTAAAAACATGAGCTTTGAGTAAGTAGAATGGTTCAAATCCTGGTGTCTCTTAAGTGATTTTGGGAATATTTTTTAACCTGCAACAATATCGATGGGCTTAGAGGGTATTGTGCTGAGTAAAGCCTAAATCTCATCTTTAATAAAGTGAGGAGGCTAAAACTTACATTATAGGATTATTTGTGGATTAAAAGCGATCATTTAAAAATACATAATAAAAATGAAGATTGTTAGACAAAACACCATTTCAACTATGATTCTGCAGGTAAGACTTTAATATGAATATAGTTTTGAGCCATCATTTCAAGGGTCTAAAGCTGCAAACCTTAGAAGATTTCATTTTAAAGGAGTCTATTCCAGCTTTCATATTAATACTGACTTTTCTAAGGACCACCATGTGCATGATACTATATTAATAACAAAGCAGAAACCCTAGTTTCAATTTCTCTGATATAAACACTATCCTACTCACTTGTGGGTATTAACTTGATGTGAAGAATATAAAGCAAATTTCTGAAAACCTGTAAATAAGCACATGAAATTATATTTCAAAATTTATGGTAAAGGTATAGAGTTAATTCTTGATTTTTCAAACAAATACAACTGTCGTATACTAATCTGGAAGTTATTCTGGTGTTGAAATACATTATGGTTTTTGAGTTGAGTGCAATCCTAATTTTCCATTTAGATTATTAGCTATCTTTGTTTATATTACAACTTAAGTGATGCTCTGAAACTGAAGAGGACACATAAAAAATCAGTAGCAGTCTTGGGTTAAAAATTTCCCACATATCATTTAAGGTGGTTAACATATAGCTGTAACATATTCCAAACCAATAAATATAACGTATTAGGTAAAAAGCCTATTAAAAAAAAAAGAATCTGGATATAATCAAAGGTGAATAAGTCATTAAGATGAACTATACATGAACTTTCAGTTAAAAATATACCTTACAAAATTATGATCAAAAGCTTCCATTTCTATTGCTTTCTCTTTAGATAATTCTCTTGTGATAGTTTGTCATCCTCTAGAAGAGTAAGAAAAAGTCCTTTTATATTTCATGACAGGTTTAATCAGGTAATTAAAACAAATTCTTTGATATCATCTGATATGTCCAATTACATGGGTATGATGTAACAAAAACAGTTACAAACTTATATATGCATATTTACATTATATACCCAAAACTATCAAGCTAGTCAACTATATCTAAGGAGATACATTATGACATGAGTTAAACAAGATTTCATTGCTTATTAGAAAGAATGCAGTCAAGCTTTTAATGGAAATAATATACAAGTGAGGCACTTTTGAGGTCAAGAATAGGAAGCAATGACACTACACACTGGCAATGTTCACAAAAATCTATGTCTATCTTTAATACAAAAGCTTTTCAACTAGATTATTTTTGAAAATTTTCAAAACTAGCAACTTATGCAATTTAAGGAGCTTTCAGAAACAATGGCTAACATCAGTGTACCAAAGCATATGAAAGTTTTATAACCACCTGGCTGCTAGGCAAACAGTACCTTTATACCTTAAAGCCCTTTTTTTTTGGTTTATAGAAATCACCTCAGGTTGTGATTTTTTTATATTTTGATTTACTGCAAAACACCTTATGGTGCTATTATTATTGTGGTTTATAGACCATTTTTTTTAAGTGCAACAACAATGTAAGCTTCTAGTGCTTTCTCTTACACTTAGAAATGTGATCCTGAAAGTGAAATTAAGAACAAGAATATTTAGTGAAGAATCTGTTTTCCAGGTGACTAAGGTTTTCAAAGTTTTATGGAGAAAAATGTTACACTTACTTAATGTATCTTTGGGTTAAAATTAAAAACCCAATCTTAAACATATTCCAAAATGTAACCCCAAGACCAAAAAAAAAATTTCAAGAGAAGAAACATCCTTAAGATTCTTTAAATAGCCCATGTGGAGGAAAAGTACGTTTCCTATATTTAGGAGACTTATATGGATATTAAGAAACATCTCTGTGCTGTTCAATTAAATGGGGGTGGGAGTTGAGGATGGGGGAATAAAAGAAAAAAACTTACCCAAGATATCAGATGGCACTCTAACATGAATTCAAAGTGCATTTGTATTACTTCAAAAGTTTGTATTAGGCACTGCTGAATAACCAGTGAAAATAGGTAGTTTCAAGTTTTCCCCTTTAAATTTTAACCCCTGCCCCAGTATCCCAGAGACATACACACACACTCTCTCTGAAGTTGTCTTGATGTTAATACAGGTGAAGTTTATTATTTTAAAAAAATTTTTCCCTGACTAGTAAAGGGAGGAAAAATAAGAATACCATTTTGGTAATGGCTTGAGCAAGTTAAAAGAATTGGTTCTAGAAATGCTTCGGCACATTCATTAACTTTGACTGCCAGTTCCAAATATCAATAAATATTTTAAAACAGGATACTTAAGAAAAAAGTGCTTAAAATCTTTCGGCAACCAACAAGACACATTAGGGAGAAGATTCATTTTACAGTTCCTTTGAGATATTTCTTACTCCTGCTTTTTCCATGTGGAGGTGGTCACCACTTAAATAGCCCTTTACTGGGAGAACAGCAATGAACCCTGTCAGACCCCAACTGCCACCTAATGTCTCTGGCCTATAAATTATCCAGTAGGTGGTGCTGAAGTTCCACACCTCATGTTTCTTCAGCTATCAAATGATCCCCCCCCCCCCGCCCCCACCCATCCCTTCAAGGTTGGAGAAAAATCATTTAGAGTTAACAAATCTGAACACAACGAGCCATCAGTCATGCCATCTTAGATGACTTCATTTTCAATATTTACTATTACTTAAGCAGTTTTGTTTAGCCATTTGCTTATACTACCAGATTAAAAACAAAGAGAAAGGTTTCAGAGGAACAGCCCATAGGCAGTGCCAAATCTGTATGCAGAAGGAGAAAATGTCCCTGAACATACCTATACACACGTTTAAGAACAAGAAATTTAAACTACCTGTTAGTTTACACGTTAAGGATTCTAATTTACTCAAAAGAGAAAAATTTCCACACAGAGATCAGATAACGTTATATTATCGGTTAGTCTTCTGGACTAATTTGGAAACTGGGTGTGTTAACTATAAAGATCCAAGGTGAAATAAAAACCATTTTATCACCATAGTTTTAATGAAGAAATTGTTTAAAATTGTAAAGGAAAAAATGGGGATGGGATGGCAAAATCTTAGCAGCAAAGTGGTTAAACAATTTGAAAATATTAATGCACAAACATTAAAATATTAAAGCATATATGTTGCATATAAAATACAGTACAGAACCAGGAGTTGCACTATACTGATTAGTGCTCAACAGAAGAAATGATTTAATTTGTTCTTCCCAGAAGTATGTACACAGTTCATTTCCACAGCATTTTCCTATATAGCCAGCAAGTTATTTTCTTCAGTTATTCACACCTTGCTCAATCCTGAATTATAAACTCCGCACTTACAAATATGAAAATCCATTCACTAGGAAAACCGATATTCCCATTCCACCAATAAAAAGTAATTTTGAAAGTTAACAGTCTATCCTAGGTAACCAAGTTTAGCTGAAAACTTCAGGGATGAAGATCATCTGGTGTAGCAGCATCCAAATATATAAACAGTAAAAATAAGACTTAAAACTGCTGCTACAGTGTCATGTTTGGATTTAGTTCATCCAATTGATTTTTTTAGTACAAAACTAGAAATAACCTCTTCTTCATAACATCTATAGTTATCAATATATTTTCTTCTTTTCAATGTGAAATAATACTTCAAGATGATCTATATACACAACGTTGTCAGTTCAAGCTGTCATATAAATATAAATGCTTTCTTAAAAAAAAGTATTTTACAGACAGATAGTGTTATATACATTGTTCAGTTTGATATGGGGCAAAAGAAGACAGCTAAACACAAGCTTAAGTGTGAATGTAAAAAGAATGATACATAAATGACATTTAAAATCCTGCATAGAAAATGAGCTTCAAATGGTAGTGTGATTTTAATGTTTATCACTTCTGAAACTTCAAGCCATTAAAAAAAGGCACACTTCTCAACTTAATCCCTCTAAGGGAATGTTCTTAAAGAACCCCTTCCTTGGTTAGAGTTTAAATGTAACACTTAAAAGAAAAAAAAGACAATCTGACCCCAAAGTACTTTAAACAATTTGTTTGAACATTTATCCAAGTACTTTGTAAATAAAACATCCAGTAATACAATGCTCTGCAAAAGCAATAAATTTAATGTATACGATATTTCATTCACAATGTTGGATTAAATACTTTCCTGGGATAGTTTAACACGCAGTTTAACATAAAATAATTTTTTCTTTTGGCCAGTTTAAATAAAATAAAATGCAATTGAGAAAAGTTATTGTTGTTATGTGAATTTATAAGCACTGAGGATTAAGCTAAAAAATTAGTAACACAGCTGAACAAATTCTGGGTTAGCAGAATGATAAATGGAGGTCTTAGGAGGAAACTTGTACACCAACTATCCAGTTACACTTTTTGCTTTGTAAAATATTTGTAAATGCAATATAATTTCTTGAAGGAGGAAACTGAAAGAAAACAACTTGCTGGTTGAATACCACAAAAACAACAACCCCCAAACCTCATTTTTTTCTATAATGTTTACTCAGTCTCTTTTTATATAAAAATAAGTGTTATGTTCCCATCAGAACATTAGACAATTACATCTGTGCTTTAAAAAAAAGTTGGTCACTCAAGGCTATTAGAATATTTTTAAGGATTTTAGATTACCAGAATGTACAGATATAACTCAATATAAACCAGAGCCAAAGGGAAATGAGGATGAAAATATCAAATCATTCACATGAAATAAAAATGTTATTAACTAGATGAGTAAAATATTCAAAATATAATGGAATGTGACAGTAGATATATGTACATCTACTTCAGAACTAGGAAGGGGAAGAAAAGTTTAATATGTCATAATTCGTACCTTATATTTAGTTAAATATAAACATTTGTTATTTATACATAAAACTGCTTTCAAAAAACAATAAATGATTTAGTTGCACTTGTTTAACTTCTTATAATTTCCAAGTGTTAACTTTTCTTAGATTGAAATCAGTTGTCCCCTAGTGCACTTTTAGTTCATGTCCTAGATTTCAAACCTTTAAAAGTCCCATCACCTAACGCATAAATATACAAAAATGCCAAAAATTAATCCCTTTTAGTTGGATCATATTTTATGCTCACTTTTTATAGCCAATAACCAGAAATGGTTTCCCTTCGCAAATACTCTTTACAACCTGTAACAAAACATGCCATGCACTCAAGGGAAAAGTTAGGCATGGCTAGCATTTGTGAAATGCCGAGCACTGACGAGTTCTGCTTCCTCCACATGTGGCCCCAATGACACCAGGCAAGACTTCATATTGCTTGCCAAAGCTTCCACAAATCCAAGTTAGCTAATTCCTGGAAACAAAGGTTTTAATCTCATTTTGGCCCTGGACCCTTTCATCCAGCAGCTTTATGCTTCCCCCCACAGCACCCACAAGCCTCACCACAACGATGGCACATTCTCAGAGGGACGTAGCAGCACATACAAGGTACAATGAAAGACAAAGCTACTAGGGCTAACCATCGTAAGCAGAACTTGTCATCGCTAGTGTCACATGAACAGGGATCAGAAAAATCTCCCTCTGAGTCTGACATACAATGATACAACATGCTCTCTGCACAGAGCATGCAACTAACTTGATATATGCATTTCTTAATAGGGTCTGGCGCATCCTGACATTTCCCCCTGCCATTTTCTTCATGATTAAACCTTTCCTGGCAGTATACGCAGCGAGAACGTTCACCATCTTCTTTTCTTCGTTTTGATGTCTTAATTTTTAATGAGGAAGGTTGTGTCTTAAATACCACAGAGTCTTTGAGTGAACTTAACTTAGTCTCATCCCCACAAGAGTACAGATAGTCTGATTTTTTACTGTCTGGTTTAGAAAACTGAATATTGGAGTCAGTATCATCTCTCTCCAAGTCATTTTTCCACATGTCAGGGTGTCTGTAGTCTGCATAACGACGTATTAAGATATCTCGAGGGTTTATTCTGACAATCTCATCCTCATCTTGAAAGCTGACATGTCGGATTGATTTTAAAGGGACCTAAGAAAGAAAGAGATGAAAACTGCAATAAGATAAGGACTGTGAATGCTAATTATATGCATCAACTTGGCTGGGTCGCAGTGCCCAGATATTTGATTAAACACTATTCTGAATGTTTAAGTAAAGATGTTTCTTGGATGACATTAACATTTAAATTGGTGGACTATGAAAAGTGAAGCAGATTATACCTCCATAACATAGGTAGACCTCGTCCAATCAGGTGAAAGCCTTACTAGAACAAGGACTGATTGCCAACTCTTCCTTGGGTCTCAAGCCTAACTAACAGCCTACCCTGCAGATTTTGGAAATGTATCTCCACTATCACATGAGCCAATTCCCTAAAATAAATCTGTGTACACACACACACACACACACACACACACACACACACACACCCTTATTGGTCCTGTTTCTCTGGAGAATCCTGGCTCATACAGATTTTGGTATCAAGAAGTGGGTTGCTACAACAAATACCTAAAAATGTGGAAAAGGCTTTGGAACTGGGTAATAGGGAGCGGCTGACAGAGTTTTGAAGTGCATATTATAAAAAGCCTAGATAGCCTTGAAGAGACTGTGGGTAGAAAGAAATACAGACATTAAAGGTGCTTCTGGGTGAGATTCAAATGAAAATGAGAAGCATATTACTGGACAGTGGAGGAAACATAACTGTTGTCATAAAGTGGCAAAGAATGTGTATGAATTGCGTTCTAGAGTTTTGTGGAAGGTAGAACTTGTAAGTAAGCATGTTCTGCAGAGAATACCAAAGGTGTGACTAGACAATCATAGGATAAAGGGGTAACGAGTGTGATCATGGATCCTATTAACCATCTCAGCTGAAATGCTGCCAGGTTGGATCTAAGGAGACAGAGTTGAGAGGAAATGAGCAAGGCTGTTGAACTTATAGGATTTACAGGACTGGCAAATAGAGCTTTCTGGCTGAGAACATGCATTATCCTTTAAGAAAAGGGAAGAAGTGGGAAAGTTGGGCTGTCTCCTCAGTTCAACAGGGTAGGGCCACTTCCTCAGTTTCAGTGGGCCAGGAAGTACAGGGCCAAGGGTTTATAAGCACATATGCAGCAAATTTATACACTAAAATTTTTTTCTAGTACAATTCAACTAAATGGAGAATTAGAAGGACTAGAAAATTTTACTTATATGTCCATTAGTTATACCCCATATCAGAAGATAAACTAAGATGACTTACCCTATTTTGGGACTTCAGGCTTCCACATTCCTTGGATATTTGCCGCTGTACATATTCTATACTTCTGCCCTGAATGTCTAGGCTTGGATGACTGAACGTTATCTAAAATACAAACAATTTCTACTTAAGTGACAAAAGAAAACATTTCTTATGTTTAATAAAACTATATACAGTGTATATTCCAAAATTTCATAACATATCAGAAGTGAAGTTTTTCAAAATGGTTTTAATAAAGCATTATTTGAGTCATCCTATTTATTATTTAAATTTAGGTCTTTCCTTATACATTTAAAATTTAATTTAAAAAGTAATATAGACTTCTGGTTTTGGTTCTGCATGTAAGGAGTTTGGAAATTGCCACTCTGTCCTAACAAGTAAACAGCTGAACAGAAAAAAAAAAAAATCAACAGCTCTTCTTAGGTCCGTAAGAAAGAGAAGGACTTAAGGCAAACCACTGCCTTTGAGGTTGGAGATAGGCAGGAGAAGAAAAGGAGAAATGGCTTAACAAAGCAGACTCATGAGTGGTAATTGCCATGGAAAAGAGTGCTGGGTGAAGAAAAGCTGAATTGTAATTGATGAATTTCTGGAGGCTCAGTGTGGACAACTTTGATAGCTAAAAACTCCAGGGGGACCCAGTCATAGCAAGTCACCCAACTTTTGTGAGTTTACCTACAGGAACTCAATCAGGTTCCCAGAGTAAATATAAGAAAAATCCCCACATTATTCCAGCAGGGGGAGAGGAAAGGAATCATTTTGAAATTAGAGAGCACTCTGTTCTTAACAAAGTCTGCCCTCAGAAGAGACTAGTTAACCAGAGCCTGGCCTGCTGGGGAATTATCAGAACCTATCTGGCCCAGGGAAAGAGAAATACCCAATTTCAGTCAACTCGAATCACCCAGCCTTTCTAAGCAGAGGAGAAAAAACTGACAAATACTTTGAAGTTCACAGTCCAGAGGCATGGCTCAGACTAAAAGACAGGCCTAATCATAGGACTGTAAGAATGCTTCCTCTCCCACACACTTTACCACTATATTACTAAAGTCCTATTTACAGAAGTTCCTTTTACTCAGTACATCATGTTGGGTTATAAAAAAAATTACGCAGTATACCAAAAGGCAAAAAAACCAGAATTTGAAGAGACAAAATAAGCATCAGAACCAGATAAGACAGGGATACTGGAATTAGCAGACCAGGAATTTAAAACATCATTAATATGCTAAGGGATCTAATGGATAAAATAGATAGCATGCAAGAATAAATGAGCAATGCAAGCAGAGAGACAGAAATCCTAATAAAGAACCAAAAAGGAATGTAAAGATCAAGAACAAAGAACACTAAGAGAAATGAAAATGGCCTTCGATGAGTTTAGTAGACTGGACATGGCTGAGGAAAGAAACTCTGTGCTTGAGGATGTATCAACAGATACCTCCAAAACTGAAAGCAAAGAGACCAAAGACTGAAAGATATATTTACCTTTTAAGATACAATATATCTTAAAAATATTTAAGAGCTGTGAGACAACTACAAGAGATGTAACATATATGGAATCAAAATACCAGAAGAGAGAAAGGAACAGAAGAAATATCTGACATAATAATGCCTGAGAATTTACGCAAATTAATGTGAGACACCAAACCACAGATTCAGGAACCTAAGAGAAGACTAAGCAAGATAAATGCCCAAAAGGTGCACTTAAGCATAATATTTTCAAACTATAAAAAACCAAAGATAAAGAAAAAATCCTGAAAGAAGCCCGAGGAAAAAACACCTTATTTATAAGGGAGCAAAGATGAAAATTATATATGACTACTCCTCAGAAACCATGTAAGGAAGGAGAGTGGAGTGAAACATTTATAAAGTGCTGAGAGAAAAAGCCCAACAACCTAGAATTCTGTACCCTGGAAAATTATCCTTTGGGCAAACAAAAACTAAAGAAATATATTGCCAGTAGACCTACCATACAATAAATGTTAAAAGAAGTTCTTTAAAGAGAAGAAAAATAATATAGGCCAGAAACTTGGATCTACATAAGAATAGAAGACCATCAAAGAAGGAATAAGTGAAAATAAACAAAACCTTTTATTTTTCTTATTATTCTTAATCTAACAAAAACGTTTGTTCAAAAAACAACAATTTATTTAATAATGTATAATTATGTATGTATGTATGCTTATAGACAGAAACGATACAAGGAATGAGAGGGAGAAATTAGGATTATTTTGTTAGTATAAAGTACTTGTACTACCTGTAAAGTGGTTTAGTGTTATTTGAAAACAGACTTGAATTAATTGTAAATGTATACTTTAAACTGTAGAGCAACCACAAAAAATGTTTTTAAAAAGGAGAAAAATGGAATCATATAAAATGTTCAATAATCCACAAAAGACAGAAAAAGTGGAATAAAGAAATAGAAGCAAAGAACAAGGGTAACAAATAAAAAACTGTAACAAATATGATAGAGATTAATCCAACTATAGCAATAATCACTTTGAATGATGATGGTGTAAATACACCAATTAAAAAGACAGATTGTTAGCATTAATAAAAAAAAATGAGACCCAACTATATATAGAAAACACACTGTAAATATAAAGGCACATATAGAGTAAAAGTAAATGGATTGAGAATAACATGCTATGCTAACACTAATCAAAAGAAAGCAGGAGTAGTTGTATTAATTTCAGAAAGAGTAGATTTCAAAGCAAGGAAAATTATCAGTGATAAAGGACATTATATAATGATAAAGGGGTCAATTCTCCAAAAAGATATAACAATCCTTAGCATATATGTGCTTAACAAAAGTGTCAAATTACATGAGACAAAAACTAATAGAACTGCAAGGAAAAATAAATGCACCCACCCTCATAGCTGGAAACTTCAATACTCCTCTATCAGAAATGGACAGACCCAACAGGCAGAAAATCACTAAGGACTCAGTTGAGCTCAATAACACCATCAATCAAGTGGATATAATTGACATCTACAGATTACTCCATCCAGCCCAGTAGAATACACATTCTTCACAAGGTCACATGGAACATTAACCAAGACAGACCACATTCTGGGCCATTAAACAGATGTTAAGAAATTCTTTTTAAAAAGACAGAAATCATACAATGTCTGCTCTCACACCACAAAGAACCAAATTAGAAATCAATAACAGAAAGATAATTGGAAAATCCTAAAATACATGTGGATTAAACAACACACTTCTAAATAACACATGGGTCAAAAAGAGATCTCAAGAGAAAAGTTATTTTGAAGGGAAATAAAAACACAACTTATCAAACTCCGTGGGATACAGTGAAATAAATGCTTAGAGAGAAACTGACAGCATTGAAGGCAGATATTAGAAAAGAACATCTGAAATCAGTTATCTACGTTTCTACCTTAGGAAAGTAGAAAAATATTAAATCCAAAACAAGAAGAAAAATAAAAAGAATTAGTGTTGAAATCAATACAGAATATTAATGAAACCAAATACCAGTTCTTTGAAAAGATCAACAAAATGAACAAGTCTTTAGTCAGGCTAACTAAGAAAAAAAGAGAGAGGGCACAAATTACTAACAGTAGAAATTTAAGAGGGAACATCACTACAGATCCCATGGAAATTAAAAGGATGATAAAAGAATACTCTGAACAACTCTACGCCCACAAATTTGATAGCCTAGATCAAATGGGCCAATTCCCTGAAAGGCACTATCAGCCAAAACTCAATAAACAATCTGAATAGGCCTATATGTATTAAATAAGTTGAACCAATAACCTTTCAAAGTATAAAGCACCAGATCCAGACGGGTTCACTGGTGAATTCTACCAAACATTTAAGGAATAAATTATACCAGTTTTCTATAATCTTGCAGAAGATCCAAACAGAGGAAATTTTTCCTAATTCATTCTTTCTATGAGGCCAACATTACCTTAATACTAAAAACCAGACAAAAACACTACAAGAAAAAAAAAAAACAAAAAACCTTACCAGTATCTTAAATAAACATTGATGCAAAAGTCCTCAAGAAAATATTAGCAAGTTGAGTCCAAAACTGCATAAAAAGAATTGTACGCCATGGCCACATGGGATTTATTCCAGTTGGTTGGTTCAACATTAAAAAATTAATAAATGTAATCCATTAACAGAGTAAAAATCACATGATCTTATCAACAGATGGAGAAAAAGCATGACAAAATCCAATAACCGTTCATGACAAAAACCTCTCAGTAAACTAGGGGTAGCAGAGAACCTCCTTAACTTATAAAGAATATCTATAAGAAAACCTACAACTAACATAATTAATGGTGAAAAACTTGAAGCTTTCCCACTAAGATCAGGTGCAAGGCAAGGATGTCCCATCTCATCACTTCTTTCCAACATCGTGGTGGAATTTCTTGCTATTAAATAATACAAGATAGGTAAAGAAAATGTATATAGTTTGAGAGAATAAAAATAAATCTGTCTTTATTCACAGATAACATGATCATCTATGTAGAAAATCCAAAAGAATCAACAAAATATCTCCCGAAACTAGTAAGGAGTTATAGCAAGGTTGCAGGATACAAGGATAATACACAACCACCAATCACTTTCCTATATACCAACAATGAAAAAGAGGAATTTGATATTAAAAAGACAATACCATTTACATTAGCATCCCCCAAAATGAAATATTTAGTATAAACCTAACAAAATATGTGCAAGATAAATATGAGAAAAGCCATAAAGCTCTGATGAAATAAAAAAAATAATAAATGCAGGGATGTTCCCATGTTCATGTATTGGAAGACTCAGTATAGTCAAGATGTCAGTCCTTCCCAAAATGGTCTACAGACTCAACACACTCCCAATTAAAATCCCAGTAAGTTATTTTGTGGATATCAACAAACTGATTCTAAAGTTTATACAGAGAGGCAAAAGACTCAGAATATCCAACACAATTTTGAAAAAGAACCAAGTTGGAGTACTGACATTACTTGACTTCAAGATTTATTATTAAGCTACAGTAATCAAGACAGTGTGGTACTGGCAAAAGAATAGACAAATAGAGGAACCAAAGAGATGATCTTGGTTATGATGATGACTTTTCAGATACAACATCAAGGGCATG